CGTTCCGACGCGACGGCGTTATCCCCGGAGAGGTACTACTCCTCCCTACTCCAGGCGACTCAACCTGAAGCCTCTCACCTCTCGTATCGTGCTCCTCACGCGCCGTCGTCAGCTTGATCAGATCGTGGAGGAAGTGGAAGCAGCTAAGAAACGGTATGGGAGATTGAACACAATCGTGATGAATTCCGTTTTGGAAGCTTGTGTTCACTGTGGAGATGTCGATTTGGCTCTACGGATGTTCCATGAGATGGCGGAACCTGGTGGATGTGGAGTCGACTCTGTTACTTACGCCACGATATTGAAGGTGATTTTTGGTTCTTTCTGTTTTTCAACTCAATTTTCGAATCTGATTTACAAGAACACAATAGTTTCCACCGAATTTGATTTTCGAATTGTTTGTTTTTTGGCTAAGGGATTGGGTAAGGCTCGAAGGATTGACGAAGCTTTCCTAATGATGGAGTCTATAGAGCATGGAACTGCTGTTGGGAATCCGAAATTGTCATCATCTCTTATCTATGGTCTCCTTGACGCTCTGATCAATGCTGGTAAGATTCTTAATTAATCTGTAAAAGTTTCTTGAATTATGTAATTCTTGGTGTTAGTGAAGATGGAAATATCATGGCCTGAAGCTGATGCGAAAGTACTTGATGTTGCTCTAGTGCAGGAGATTTACGTCGTGCTAATGGTCTGCTTGCACGATATGGATCTTTGCTCCTAGAGCCTGGCGGACCATCAATTCTCATCTATAACTTGTTGATGAAGGTACTTCTTAACGCGTAGCTGCATTTAGGCTCAGAGAAGTATCTTCATGGCATATGTTTTGAGGTAAGTTTCTTATCTATAATGTTGTATTTCAGGGGTATATCAACTCAGGATCTCCACAATCAGCACTAATTTTGCTGGATGAAATGTTACGCCTTGGAATGGAGCCTGATCGGTCCACCTACAATACTTTGATCAATGCCTGCATCAAGTGTGGCGATTTGGATGCGGCTATGAATTTTCTAAAGGAAATGAAGGTCACATGTGTGTATTTAAAAGGCCAGCTTTTATACTCCAAGTGTTACTCAGAGTAGTACTGGGGTAGTGCCTGGCTCATGTTAATTATGATGTCTTGTTTTCTAAAATATTTCAGGAGAAAGCAGAGGAATATTACGATGATTGTCTTCATCCAGATGTTATAACATACACCACTTTGGTTAAGGTGAGTAAGCAATCTGTGGATCTGTTTACATATCTAATCTCTATGCGGGAAGATGGCATAGTACTCATTGTTGTTTCTGCTATTTACTTGACATGTTATCAACTTCTGTCGCTTATGATGATTTCCTAATTCTTAGGGATTTGGGGATGCGAAGGATCTGTTATCACTGCAGGAAATATTTCTGGAAATGAAATTGTGTGATAACTTGTTCATTGACCGAACTGCATTTACAGCCGTAGTTGATGCTATGCTAAAGTGTGGTTCAACGAGCGGTATGTTACTATGAATTGCTGTTACATTATACTGCTCTCAGAATCTGGAACATAGATGGGTTTCGAGTAATTTCTTAGGATCCTTATCGAATGTGTTCACAGGGACCCTTTGTGTATTTGGTGAAATATTAAAGAGAAGCGGAGCCAATGCAGTCTTGCGACCAAAGCCTCACTTGTACCTATCTATGATGCGTGCTTTTGCTTCCCTAGGTGATTATGGCATGGTTAGAAATCTGTATCTTCGCCTATGGCCAGATTCTTCGGGAACAATCTCCAAGGCAGGTCAACAAGAAGCTGATAATCTGCTGATGGAAGCAGCTCTCAATTCTGGCCAGGTATTAAATAATTAGATAGACGCTCTGGCGCTGGGCTTTCTAGTGAATGGAAAGTCTTTGCTTTATCTTTTTATGTGGTGTCTATCATTTTCTGATGATATCTGCTAGTCCGGTGGTGATTCTTGGTCCTCTAACTAATTGTCTGGATTAATTTTCAGCTCGATGAGGCCCTTGGGATTCTTTCAGGTATTGTTAGAAGGTGGAAGGAAATACCTTGGACGACTAGTGGAGGCATGGTATGATGAGAATAGTTAGTTACAGACAATAGATTTTTTTTTTTGGTTGAAATATATTCTGTAAATGTTATGTCCGATGAAACCTTAGTTGCGTCGTGGAGATTGAATTATAGTTTTCAACCGCAGGCTGCTGTCCGCTTAGAAGCATTGTTGGGGTTTTCCCAGTCTATATTGCGTCCGCATCTACTCAGTAAGGTATAGATTTTACCTATCTCCCACGCTCTCATTTCATGCATATGATCTCAGAATGTGAGGTTTGGGTGGTTTTCTGTGCCTTCATCAACTTTTAATCTAAAACTGAGATGTGTTTGGGTATTAACAACAATCTATTGACCCAGGTCATACCAGCCGAACCAATAGAAAGTATTATGATTCCATTTGAAGCCACTCGGTCACTGCTAGGCACTCTAAAGCTGAAGAATGTGGTCATGCGGTTTTTCAAGGAGCAAGTTGTGCCAATAGTTGACGATCGAGGAAGCTGTATAGGCCTTTTGCATCAGGAGGATTGCAACAATGTAAGTTAAAACAAAATCTGATTATGCTTCAGGACTTGTCGACATAAAACAGAAAGATGTACTTAAACAATGTTTTGCAGCTTGATGCGCCATTGGTCTCAATGATGAGAAGCCCGCCCCCATGTGTGAGTACAACGACATCGATTGGCCGTGTGGTAGATCTGGTTTTGGAAAAGAAACATAAGATGGTTATAGTTGTTCATTGCGGAAATCTTTTTGGGAGCGTTTATAGCTCGAAAGCAGTTGGAGCTTTTACAAGAGCACAATTGTATAGGCTTTTCGAACCAGAACAAAAGCTTCTCCAATGGATGTAATGTAAGTAATGTCCCTTTCTTTCAAACTTCAGATATTCTTGTCACGTTTTTGCATATAGAAATCCCTTTGAGTAAAGAAAAAAGAAGAAGCAGGTGACTAAATAAAATGAAACATTGATACATTCACAGGCAACAGAAGAACGAAAATTAACAAGAAAACAATAAAAGCACTGACATAGGAAAGCTAAAAAGATATAAGCAGATGCTGTCTCTGTATGTGATATAATGCAGATGTATATCACTTAGATGCAGCAGTTTCATAGTCGATAACGGTTTGAAAAGCTCCAGCAAGAGCCAAGACCTTGTTCTTCCTCGGGTTCTCTTGCATCTTACTTGCTATTACATCGTTGTAAGCTGATGGAGATTCCTTCTTCCCTTGCACCACTTCCTTCTTTGTTCCTTCCTCTGGTAATTCTTCTTCTACTAGATCCTTTGTTTCTGTTGTTCCTTCTTCGACTTTGCTGCTTTCGCTCTCTTCTTCTTTAACTTCTGCTTCTTCCTTTTCCTTGCTTTCTTCGACATTATTCGCAGTTCCTTTCATTTCCGAAACAACCGTCTCTCTGTTCTCCTCATCATCAGCCTTCTTTTCAACTTCTTCCTCCTTGTCTTCACGGTCGTTTTCTGGTTCTTTCGGCTCCTCTATTTGCTCTTCCGCTTTATCCTCATTGATAAGTTCTCCCCTTTGTTCTTCTTCTTTGGAGGCAGCATCCAAAGGAACGGTCTCCTTCTCCTCTTCACCGGATTCATCGGGTTGTGCAACCTGGTCTTTATTTTCTTCTTTCGTTTCTTCTCTGTGGTCAGAGACTTGTACATCGGTCTCAACCTTAACAATCTCCTCTTCAACCTCGTGAGCAGGGGCAAGAGGAGAAGTTTCCAGGTCCGGGGTAATCTCTTTACCCGAAGATTTCTTTAGAACATTCTCAGAACCTTCTTCTTTGCTCTTAGAAGAACTGCCACCGCTCAGACCGCTCTTCTTTACGCCCGAAGATCCTCTCGAACCCACAGGAGGCGATTTCACAGAACTGCTTCCTCTAAGACCACCTCTGGTGCTTCCATGGAAAGATGTAGAACGCAGACCACCAGTGACAGGCTTCTCTCTTGGAACCACAGGTCTGACTCGTGGTCGTGAAGGAGAGGTATTGAGAGATTTATGT